GGGGGGGGGGGGGGTAAAGTATGACTAATGCATTATTTTTTTTGTTAGGTTCATCTACTTCAACGGCCCTGAAGAACTACACATTATTGGAGGATCTTAATATTGAGGATGAGGTACATCGTATTAGTTGAAAATTTCTCTTTGGACAAATCTAATTTTTTTTTCTTTTAATGATATAGGAAAATGATGTTGAGAAGAAGTAGATTCTATCACCACCGATGGTGTTAAGAGATGATTGAGTTGGTAATTATTCAATTTCAACCAATCAATTTTATTAGTAAATACAAAATATTTTTATGTAATTATTATAGTTTTTTATGATTTATTTTCTTTATTAAATTATAGGTGTGAAGCTACATGGCAGAAAAGTTTCCCCATTATGTTGTTTGTGTTATGTTGTGTTATTTTGAATTATATCAAATTCAAATAGTATTTTGAATATTTGTTGTTTGTGTTATGTTGGAATATGTTATGCTGCATTATGTTGTGTTAGATTATGTTAGATTATTTAGAATGTTGTTGGATTATTTAAAATATTGGATTTATTTAGAATTTTAGATTATGTTGGCTTGAACTTGGACTTAGGCTTGGGCTTGGGCTTGGGCTTGGACGGGTACAAGGGAAGCGGGGATGGGGCCGGGGATTAGAAATCTACCATCAGACGGTGATGGGGATGAAAATTATACCCATTAATAGGGATGGACTGAGGATGGACGAAGGTTTTTTAAGTGAGTATGAGGATAAAAACTATACCCCTTGCCCCCACTTCGGTTCATTCACATCCTTACCTATTATAAACAGAACAAACTGGGACAATTCTAGAAACTTGTTATCATAATTAATGGTAGACATATTCCCCTGAATAAGATGAATAAATTCATTTTCTTTCTCATATCGATAAACGGGAGGAAATATTTCTTATCAAAGGCTTTAATGAATTGTTTCCACATCACTGCCTTAGATTCCACATTAGTATCTAAAACAGTTAACCATCGCTTAGTAGCCTCTCACCAATATTGAGCTTCCTGAACTAGCATAAAAGTACCTAAAATAACTTTCTCTTCTTCAGTTACACCCATTACCTTGAATATTTTGTCCATCATCTTTTGCCAATTTTTAGCCTCTTCTTCAGTTTTTTTAAATCTTTCATATATTGTACTTTGAGGTTCAGAACGGTTTGATCTCATCATCTGTGGTTCAAAATATTTTGTAGTTGCCTCAATTGTTTGTTCAGATGCATAGTCTTCCTGTCCACCTTGTTCACCCTGTACTCGGGACCCTTTCTGTTTATCTAAAGCCTCCCTTTCTACATTTTCACGAATATTTGGATCTATAACTAACTCTTTCAAGTAATCAAGATAAGTAAACAACAATAATGTATCATTTAACTCAACAAACACAAACCACTCTATTAGACTTGATAGACACACCCCTAACGGTCCACTGTGATAGCTAGACTTGACAAGTCTACAAAACCTATCAAACCCTAGCTTTGATACCAAAAATTGTCACACCCCAACCCAGAAAATAATTAAGGTGTGAGTAGAACTAACTGGTAAACCATACCTACTACATGTAACAACAGATTAACATCAATTAATCAAAACCATTTGCATAAAACAACAATTGGATAATTACATATATACATAATCAGAAATTCTCATCATTTAGACACCAGGTCTACAAAACATTCTAACCAACTACATACACCATGACTCATGACATATCGTACAATAGACCTCAATCCCCACCTAAGCCAAGACTCCATAATGGACCTCCTTCTAAGTCAACACCAGAAAGCAAACAACTATTGGGAGGTGAGCAAACTACAAGCTCAGTGAGTATATTCAAGGCATACAGAAAGAAAACATATAGCATAGAACAGATACAACAAGTCTCACAAATTATAATTAAGCACCAATATCCAACTATCCAATAAAGCCTGAAGTCTCGGCGAGAATTCACGGCTACCCATTTCCGTTGGGAGTCTCGACAATCAATTCTTTACCATTTAGGCATGGCAATCTCGATAACCAATAATATCAAGAAGCATATAACCACCATAAATATCACTTGAGCTCATAACCAATCACAATTCCACAAATTAATAATTCACTGCACCACATTCTAGCTAATACACACAAGTATAGCTATTTGTCAAATAATCACATTTCTAATTAATATGAATCAATACACTCACCTCGATTAAATTCCAAACCCAACTCAGTGCCATGTGTAATATTAAGTGAACCTAACGCTGACCTCCTCATCGCCTCTTCACCTAACATATGTCGTCACAAGACATATAAGTACAATTTACAAAAACATAATATTATGCAACACATGCATAAATGATTAATTATGCCTAAAATATCACTTCTCCCATCCCTTACGCAAATGTCAACTCTTTAATCAATTAAAATTTACCCAAAAATAAACTCATTTGGATGTTCCAAGAAGTTTTGAAAGTGAGTAGGTAATGAATAGGAACACCATAGCAAAACAAGGAAAAGAAACAGTCTTGTACCAGTACAAGTTGTACCGATTCTTATTGTGATTTTCCCCCTTGTACAAATACAACTTTGGTTGTATTGGTTCTTCATAAAACAGTGACCTTATGCACCGATACAACTGGGTTTTCTCCTTCGTTTGGTTCTAGTTCTTCCCTAATCTACTCCTGTCAATCCTAAGACCCTCAAACACTTACACCAACAAATATAGCTACCAAATTACATGGAACTCTTAACTATTCTCAAACCCAACAACTAACTTCTTTTAGTAAACATCAAAATCTTACTTCATAAAAAAAAATTCCATAGCTATAAACAAAACCCTTCAAACTAGGTTTACCGTTAATAACATAAAATTCCTTTGAAAACAATGTAGAATTATTACCAAAAGAAATCAATCCTCTTCCAAACCCACCGAGCTTCCTAGGTAGTAACCCTAGGATTTCTTGTAGTCAATTCCCCTATTTTCCCTTCTTTTTTCTCTTTGATTTTTTTTTCTTTATCTCCTCCAGATTTCATGTACAACTCCCACACAGACACACATATATATGCATGTACCAGTTCTAACACACACACACACACACACACATATATATATATGCATGGGTGAGCTAAGAGGAATAAGGGTGTCTTCAATGATTCAACCAAACCCTTCCAAACTCCACTTGACCCCTTTTCTGTTTCATTTACTCACACACACCCCCTTAACTTCTATCACATACCAATTACACCCAAAAAATTTTACAACCTTATAAATCAACCCCTAGGGTTTATAATTTATGATATTACCTAACTCTCCAATTCCAATAACAGTAATTTAACCCCCATAATTTACAATATAAATTATACATTAGACCCTAACATCATAATAACTGGCGTGCAATGCATGTCTGGGTCTCACACATTCAAATAATTCTTGTCTTTTAGTAAAGCTTTTGTTTATAAAATCTCTTGATTCATTGTGTCATGTACATCGAATGCTTTAAATTCCCTACAAGTCACAAAATTGGTTTTGAATATTTGAATTAATTAATTAATTAAAATTTTCATAAAAACAATTGATTTCTTATTTGTGATAAAAGAACTTTTATTTGTTGGAGACCTTAATTCATCATCGACTCCGATGTACTAATTTCTATCTAAATAATTTATCTATAATATTTTTGAATTTATTTTTAATATTATTAGAGCTAAATCTTTTGATCAAGATCATTCCTCATTTGATTCTTAATTAAGTTTGAAAACCGAATCAAGAATGAATATTATGTGGAGTTGGAAGGGGATCCTCGATGTTTTAGTATTACCAATTACTGTTTCAAACCCAAAATTCATTGTTCCCTAAACTCAACTTTTTCAAACTACTTTCAAAAGGAATTTTATTTTAATTTTATTTGTATTCCGAGTTATTCATCAATTCCATGTGGTATGATCTCGGACTTTTGAGCTTTATTACTTTGCGACAACCTACACTTAAGTGATACATTATTAAAGTTATAGCATCAATAACTAGTAAGTGTTTTAAATTTCAAATATATAACACAACAAAATCTCTTCCCTTTGCCTAAGACATTTAAGCACACATGTGTCACTTGAATAGAATAAATTCTTGTAAAAGTTGACAGCTGCCCACCTTAATAATCAAATATCCTTGAATTTATTTATTAGTCCCCTATATTCGAATCACTTTATTTTGATCCTGCAAAATCTCTTGTAGTTTTAAAGAATAATAATTTGACCTACTCAATTTTTTTAATTCATCAATTTGTTGGGATGGATGTTACATAATCATCATAAACCAAAAATATATCGCCAAGTAAAAATAGCTAGAGCTCTATTTCCTGAAATACAATCAAAATTGATAATATTCTTTTTTTTTTAATCAAAATTGATAATAAAGTCTCCAAATATACCTTATATCATTCAATAATTATCATCCGTCCTGAATAAAATTATACCATCACATATCTGAATTAAAGGATAATAAAAGTATTAATACAATACAGACAAATCATTGTTTCAAATAATACAATACAAAATATTAATATAGTTTTACCCCAATCCAAATGCTCTCATCATTTTGAACTTGAAAATTAAATAGTGGTAAGCTAACAAGCCTAATAGGATAACTTTACTCAAACATTATCAAAGTTTTGGAATAAAATTGTAAGTATGACATTTCATAGGATGAACATCTCATATTTTGCCTACACAACCATATATTAAAAATCATTACTTTATGTAGTAAAAATCATGATATACATGTCTGATTTCATAAAACAGTAACAATGCAATAATAATAGAATATTAATTTGAAGGCCCTAGTATACCACAAGTATTGATTATAACCAACTAAATAGAACTCAATCCACGTATGAATTGCATCGATTCCTGGGGAGCTTTAGTCTTGCATCATAAGGAACATTATGCCCTTCTTGCTTTTTTGGGAAAATTAATACAAGGCATCCGCAACACCACACATGCAACTACAGTCATCCAATACTCGTCACTAATCCTTCCAATGATTTAGAGGCACATCATCCATAAACCCTGCAATGTTAGTAAATGGAAAAATTAACACTAGGCATCTACAACACCACAATATTGTGCACCCATGCTTCCAGATCTAACCAAAATAATAATTTTACAATAATCCAATAATAATATTCCAGTATACCAAAATAATATGTAATCATTCATATGATAATTCAAATTTCAAAATCATAAAATCGATATATCAATTAAAAAACATCAGATGCAATAAATCATTTTTAATTAGCAAAACTCATATATTCCCTAATGAATAATGCCATAAACATAAATAAATCTTGTAATATTGAACATATATTTGGAATGAAAATTCAAAATATATATGAGATACATTATTGAAAAGAAATCAAAAAAAAAAAAAAATTCCTACCTCAAAACAGAAAAGTACCAAGAACTATAAATGGTGTAGTCGAACTCCAAATTCATAAACCCCATGCTAATATTTCTATTTCTCTCCATATTTTCTATCTTTTTTTTTTCTTACTTAGTGTTTTGAGATTCATAAGAGTGTTTCCAAAAAATGTAGCAGAATGAAGAAGATGATGTATTTATAGTAGGACTCAACACAAAACAGTCAATCGACTGAGTTCAAAGGTGGTCTAGATCGTCTAAAAAGGCGGTCTACCGACTAAAGTTTATATCCAAACTCGTTTTAATGCAAGCATCCCTTGTAAAATAATACTTTTACCCCTAAACTTTCCAATTTACCCTAAATGCATACATTAAGGTTTTTTGACATTTTGAATTCATTTCTAATTTTATTTATAAGGTTTCTCAACACTCTAAATTCAATGGTAATGTTATTTTCACCTAAAAATATGTAGATTAATAACCAATCATAAAATATAAGCTTAATTACGTATAAATCCCTCAAATTTTCTTAAAAATCCAAATTCAACGGAATTGAATACCACACCAAACCAAGTACTTAATCACTATCCTCAAATTTATTCAATCTTCCATGATGACTCATAGAACTTTCAACCCCCACTTTGTGGTGGTACAGATTGTGGCAGTGGGTGGTTGAGGAGAATGGAAAACTATTAGGCCAATAATTTACAAGCTTAAATCTTAACACTAATTAAAGAATTTGATTAGCACCTGTTTGGATATGTTCGACAAGAATAGAAAGTGTGTTTTTGATTTTTTTTGTATGCTATAACTTGGTTATATGTGTTTGCACCCAAACTTAGCAAGAGTATATGGGTGACACATGGAAGAGATCTGACGGTCATAAAAAATTTCGTAAAAGTCTATGATTGACAGAACGATT